GGAGCTGGGTAACTTTGTTGAAGACACGCATAAAGCTTATAAAGCATTGGCTCATAGGTACGATCGAATAACAGGAGAACTGCAAAAGGCCAACCAGACCATAGCGATTGCTTTTCCTGATCAGGTCAACTTTGAAATGCAAGATGATGAGGATGGTGGCTCTCCAAAGGCAATCACTTCGATTGATCTCAGTAAATTCCGTAATCCAACGGAAGTCCCACAGTTCATCTTCAGACAGAAAACAAAGAAAGATCGCCCCACACCGAAGAAGCAACATCACAGGAAGCTAAGTACTCAAATCAGCAAAGAGAAGGCACAGGAAGAGATAGACAGGCTTCAAAAGGAAATTTTAGTGCTGCAGACTGAGAAGGAATTCACCAAGAGCTCTTACAGGAGCACCTTTGCCCGGTATCTAGACATCGAGAAGCAAATTACTGAGATGCATGAGGAATTTTGCTGCTTGCAGGATTATTTCAGCGCAAGTGCAATCGCTGAAGATGGCGAAGCTCGTGCAATGATGGTAGCATCAGCCATTAAGTCTTGTGAGGATAGCTTAGTTAACATACAAGAACAACGGAAAGTTACGTCCAAAGAGGCAAGAATTGAGTCAGAAAAAATTAAAGATGCTAAATAGAAGCTGAAGGCTCTCAAGGGTGAGTCTGGTGAATCAGAGATTGAGACAACAGAGACCTCTGATCAGAACATGGAGCAGAACTCCACCTCCGTAAACACAGAAGATAGTGTTCTGAAAGAGGAAAGGATGGAATTACAGTCAGTGTGCCTGAAAGTGAAGGAACATTTTGAGATGAGCTCTGAAACATCAGTCATGGAACTGGCAGAAAAGATTGATGAACATATAGTTTCGTCGCAGAATGGTCAGATAGAGAGATTGAGATCAGAGACAGCTGAGCTTAATAGGCACCTACAATGCATGGAGGAGGACAAGGTGATCCTAACTGGCGACTCCAATACCTTTACTGAGACTTTTAAAGAAGCAGAAGATGCATTGCAAAGAATTCAACATCTTGAGAATTGTCTAAATATTGATGAAGATGCCCTTCAAACACAATTTTTAGATGCCTGCCACAGTCTTAACAATCTTTCTGAGAAGTTGCAGTCGCCTAAACATCAAGAGCATGCATTGTACCAGGTGGTAGAAACTCTGGTTTCCAACAAGGAAAGCAAGGAAGTCGACTATGTTAGGATCCAGAATACAGAGGAAAAACTTGCCGGAATTGAGGCTCATGGGCAAATTACAAACGAGTCAGACAAGTTGCAAGAGGATACATTGTAGACAATGTTCATGTTGGTGAAGTGCAAACACAACTTGAAGAGACAGATGACATTCCAGACTTGCAAAATTTATTGCTAAATGGATTAGAAGGCAGCCAAAATGTCTTACTGACTGAGTACACATCCATTCTTCACAATTACAAGGATACCAAAAATAGGCTTTCAGAAATTGAGTAAAAAACCCAAGAATATCACTTAGAGACAATGGCAGAAGTAAATGAACTGAAAAATGCCAATGCCATCAAAGATGAAGAGATTCAACTTCTCAAAGAGATACTAAATTCCTTTCAGACTTGTTTAAGTGTAAATGCACCAAAAGACATGGAGATGTCTGGATACCAAGTTGCTGGAGATCTAGCCGAAACGAAAGTAGAATTTCATGAAATAGAAACCGGGAGCTCTCATGAAGGAGACATCAATGAGATACAAAGTTCTTCATTGCTTGAAGACAAATTTAGAGCAGACATTGATACCCTACTAGAAGAGAACTTGGATTTCTGGTTACGGTTCAGCACATCATACCATCAAATTCAAAATTTTCAAACTACGTTTAAGAACCTCAAATCTGATATTGAGAAAAACCAAGATGGCAATGTCGCTGTTATGGCTCCTGCTGAGGAGGCCGTAAACCAGGAATCACTTCTAGTTTGCAAGAGCTTAAGAGAATCGAACACCGAGCTCCAGGTTTGGTTGGAAAAGAATGCACTGTTAAATGGAGAGCTCAAGTGGAGATTTTCATCTCTTTGCAGCATACAAGACGAGATATCAAGAGTTTTAAAGGAAAGCGAGAGTGAAGAGGTGCATCTCACTCCTTACCAGGCTGCTAAGTTCCAGGGAGAGGTGTTCAGCATGCAAATAGAAAATAACAAGGTTGCAAAGGAACTGCAAGCCGGTTTGGATCATGTGAGGGGGCTTCAGATGGAGGTTGGCAGGACTTTGTCAAAACTTAATGAGAACTTTAAGTTGTCCGGATCAAGAAACCACCAGCAACACAACCAATTTAGGC